AAAAAAAGTATTTCATTTGTATTATTCACTGTCATGTGGGATCTGTGTAGATTTATATATTCTATAATGAATAATGTGAACATGTTGCATATTTGAACATCTGTCGGTTAAATAATTTCACTTTTGTGGTTTACATATTCGTGGTGTGCGTGGGCTCTTGTATGTGTAGGAGTGCATGTTTTAAGTGAGTTGTATGAATGGTATGTCAATTCTGGTAGAATGAGTACAAGTGATCTACCGTATACGTATTATATAGTGTAACTGATATATATGTAGTTAAGTTATCCCTATTAGTTTGCAACAACGAAATACTTAGATTTGATACCGCAGTACGAATTGCTATACCTATACTTAGAATATGACTGTGCGATGTAAATTTATTTTCTGCCGTATATACATATGCGGCAGAAATCTGCGAGATATACACAGACTAAATCAAATATTAAAATATGCTCAGTAAATTGTAGGGGCCTTGGTGACCGAAATAGGCGGTTAGATGTGTTCAATTTCTTGCGGAAGAAATCCTTTTCCATCTACTGTCTGCAAGATACACATAGTACATTATCTATGGAAACATATATAGGAGCTGAATGGGGTTTTAAATGCTTTTTCAGTCATGGAACCTCTAACTCAAGAGGAGTTGCAATATTGGTTAACAATAACTTTGAATATAAAATTAAAGAGGTTGAGAAAGACACTAGTGGAAACTTTACTGCTCTTAGAATGACAGTAGATGAAAAGACATTTCACTCATAAATCTGTATGGTCCCAATAATGATTCACCCGAATTTTTTTTAAAAATACACGAGATAATAATGAAATTTTGAAATCAGGATCATATTATTTGTGGGGACTTTAATTTAGTATTAAACCAAGAGAAGGACACGTACAACTATAAACATAAAAATAACCCCAAGGTCTCTAATCAGCTTTACACCTTAATGGACTTGTATAACTGGCATGATATATGGAGGGAAATGCATGAGGAAGTTAGACAGTTTACATGGCGGCAGCCTACACCTTTCAAACAGGCAAGGTTAGATTATTTTATTGTTTCCACAACCATTACAAACTTTATCGAAGATAGTCAGATTATTCCAGGTTATAAGAGCGACCACTCCATTATTACTCTGGACTTACAGTTAAAAAGGAAAATTAAACACGGAAAAGGTTTTTGGAAATTCAATAACTCCCACTTATATGAAAGTGAGTATGCCGATATGGTAAAGCAGATAATCAATGAAACTATCTTAGAGTATGCAGCAGCGCCCTATAATAGAGATAACATACTGAATTTTGACAGGCATTCTTTACAGTTAACTATAAGCGATGGGCTATTTCTTGAAACTCTTTTAATGAAAATTAGGGAAACGATTGCTTTTGGTGCTAGGATAAAAAAGAAAAGAGAGTCTGAGGAAAAACAAGTGGAAAACACTATAAACGACCTAGAGAATGATCTTAAAAATGAGGCCGAAATAGACAAAAAAAAGAAGAAATTCTTGAAATGAGAAATAAAGAAAAGATGAAACTAGAAAATATAAGAAAAATACAAGTTAAAGGTGTAATGATAAGATCAAAAGAAAGATGGATTGAATACGGAGAAAAACCATCAAAATATTTTTTGGCACTGGAAAATCGCAATTTTACAAATAAGTCAATAACTAAACTGGTAACAGATAACGGAAATATTCTTACCGAACAAAATGAAATTCTCAAAGAAACCGCACGCTTTTACGAAATTTTATTTAAGAAACAAAATCACGAATCAGTAGACATAAAACTCGATTGGAAAATATTGAAACTCCAAAATTGACCGAAGTCGAAGCATCCTCACTCGAAGGAGAGATCAGCTACGCTGAACTTTACATAGTATTAAGACAAACGAAAAATGAAAAGAGCCCAGGTACCGATGGGTTTACTTACGAATTTTTCAAATTCTTTTGGAAAGAACTGAATAGTTTTTTAATAAGATGTATAAACGAGGCATACAGAAAAGACAAACTACCTATAACTCTTACCCGGGGTATAATCGTCCTTCTACCAAAACATAATTCTTTTGGAAAGAACTGAATAGTTTTTTAATAAGATGTATAAACGAGGCATACGAAAAAGACAAACTACCTATAACTCTTACCCGGAGTATAATCGTCCTTCTACCAAAACATAATAAGCCCACCAACTCGTTAAAAAACCTAAGACCGATATCACTACTTAATGTTGTGTATAAACTCGCCTCGGCATGTATAACGAATCGAATAAAAAAAGTATTACCATTATTAATAAATGAAGACCAAAATGGGTTTATGGCAGGCAGATACATAGGTGAGAATACACGGACCATTTTTGATTTAATTGAATACTGTGACGCACATGAAATACCAGGTCTGTTGATGCAAATCGATTTTGCTAAGGCTTTCGATTCAATTGATTGGGGTTTTATCGAAAAAACCTTTGAATTCTTTGGCTTTGGAGAATCTATCATAGAATGGATAAAACTCTTCCTTAAAGACTCCTCTTCGTGTGTCTTGGTTAATGGTTTTGCCTCTTCTTTCTTCAATCTTTCTCGGGGTTGCCGTCAGGGGGATCCCATCTCCCCCTACCTTTTCATTCTTTGTGCTGAGATACTAAGTATCATGTTAAAAAATGAAATAGACATAAAAGGCATTATAATACATAATCAAACTTTTCTCATCTCCCAGTATGCTGATGACACGACTATTGTGTTGGATGGAACTGAAAAAAGTTTAAGAAATACCCTAAAGGTTCTAAATGAATTCTCAAAATTTTCTGGACTACAAATGAACAATCAAAAAACTAAATTAAACTGGTTCGGAAGCAAGAAAGATTCACAAGAGAGCATGTGCAAAGAGTTGAACCTCGATTGGAATGAACGTTTTTTCAGAATCCTTGGAATAGATTTCTCAGTAAATTTACATGAAATGATTGAGAAAAATTATAAAGAGAAACTCGAAGATATGGAAAGAATTATGAAACAATGGACTCACCGACCGCTAACAGTTTTGGGGAGAAATGTAATTTTTAAATCATTGATCCTTCCAAAAATGACTCATTTATTTTCGACATTGCCAATACCAAACAAATATGTAGACAAAATACAAAAAATGTGCTTTAATTTAATATGGAATGGAAAAATTGAAAGAGTAAAACGAGATATAATGACACAGTTGTACTCAAATGGAGGTATAAAAGTCCCCGATATTAGAAACTATATTGATTCCCTTAAAATTTCACGGCTCAGGAGAATCATGCACAAAAATTCAAAATGGTCTTTCTTTTTCCTTAGTCTGATCCCTGAAAGTAAGGGTGTACACTGGTCTGAAACGGGAAATGCAAAAAATTAAGAACGGATCAAAAAACGCTTTTTGGAATCAGGTCATTGATGCATGGTGCAGACTGTTAAACAATAAAAAGATTGATACAAAAGGAAAATGTTTAAAAGAATGTTTATGGCTAAATGATAAAATACTGATAAAAAACAATCCTATTCTTTTAAGAACCTGTAATAAAATAGGTATAAGAAACGTAAATGACTTGATCAATACAGAGGGAAATTACCTCACATACGAACAGTTCAAGGAAAGGCACGGGAATATAATAAACTATGTTACGTTCACAGGTATACTATGCGCAGTTAAAAAATTTCAAAAACAAATGAATATAGATAATCTACACGAAAAAATTGAGCTCCCTATAATTTCAACCCAACTTAAATGGTTACTAAAATTTACAAAAGGAGGGTAACCTTTTTACAATATTTTGAACTCAAACGAATGAAAAAGACTAATGCAATGTCAAAATGGGAACTCTTTTCTAAATAACCTCTCACAGCTGAAGAGTGGAAAATTTTGAATAACATTCCTTTCCAATGTACTTTAGATACTAAACTGCGCTGGTTTCAATTTAGAGTATCAAAAAGAATTTTAGCTACAAATAATTTTTTACGAAAAATTGGGATAAAAGACACAGAGACCTGCTCCTTCTGTAACGAACACCCTGAAACTCTTCAACACTTATTTATTGAGTGCAAAGTAATTGCTCCCCTTTGGGCAAAAATACAAGACTGGATCCACTTAAAGACTGGACAAGTATTACAATTAACAGCATCTGATATAATTCTAGGAATTCCAAATTTGAAATGCAATGCGCTCAACAGTTTGCTGATCATAACAAAATTTATTATATATAAATTTAAAATGAAAAACATTACCCCGAACATAGAAAATATTAAAATAGAATGGAGACAGGCCTACATCGCAGAGAGAAATATAAGTCTGAGAAACATGACAATAGATAAATTTAATGAAAAATGGAAAAAGCTGCAGCCTCTCTTCCTGGACTGATATCTTCTATCATATGTTCCCCTGCCGATATTTGATAGTAAAACACATATTAGTTTATATCTGAATTAGATCATATTATTTATTAAGTATTATCAAATATTTTACTACTAGATTATATATCGTTGTTGAAAAATATTTTAAATGATACAGTAACTATATATATATATATATATATATATATATATATATAGTGCAAATGACTGTCTCTTTGTGAGTGAGTAAGTGAGAGAGTGAGTGAGAGTGATTTTTATTTAGTTATTTATCAATTTTGTATTTTTTGTTGAGATATGCAATAAAGAAAAAAAAAAATTTAATAATTTAAAACGTTTTGAATCCAAACGTTCCGCGTTTTGTTTTCACCAAAAAGAGCACAATTGTCAAGAGAGAGGGAATCATGGATAGTAAAGCACGAGCGATTAGTTTGATCGTCCGTTGATCGTAATATTCCTAACGGTTTTAGTGACATGTATAAAATAAACCTTTGTGTGAATTGCATCATTGAAATTTCAAGCTTTTTTATGCATGAAGGAACACGTATGCATTAAATACCCTGTACCCACAGATATTCCCATGTTAATGCCGCCTGTCATATGTGAGAAACGATCAACTCTCTGAAACACAAACATAATAAGTCAGATATATATATCAATGTTTTTTTTTATTTAAGCAGCTCATGTTTTTTTTACATCTGGTTGGTCTATTGAATAATTAGGAACTATTCGGCATATTCTTCAAGTGTTTGTTCTTTAAACAACTAAAACGAATTTCTGCGTCACACATAGACCTGATTATTCTATTGATACATTTTAAGCAGATTTATCTCTTGGTTTAATAGTATATAAAAACTGTCAAAACATTTGAAACAATGAGAGTTTTTTCTCTAAAAACGAATTGTACATCTTCCTGGGTTGCTAAATTGTAGTCAACGTAATTCTTGTCCACATCGCCGAAAAAATTCAGATAAATTTCTGCGTCGTGTGTCTTGATACATTGCGTATACGCTTTCAACACTATTTTATATAGATTCAGTAAAATGAACCCTTTCCTTACATACAGATGACAAGAGTGAAACAAGCTGTATGTTCATTATCAATCAATTATTTGTATTCTATTACTGAAATGAATAACACATCTTTTGGAGTTGCTAAAACGTAATCAACATAATCTTCATCCGTGTCGCCGAAAGTCTATCAGCAGTCCAGATAAATTTCTGCATCATGTGTTTTGATGCATTGCGTATACGCTTTCATAGCTATTTAATAAAGATTCAGGTAAATGTAACCTCTACTCATATACAAGTGACAAGTGGGAATGGGGCTAAAGCGGTATGCTCATTATAAATCAATGATTCGTATTCTCTTTCTGAAATGAATAACACAACTTAAGGAGTTGCTAAAGCGTGATCAACATAATCTTCATCCACGTCGCCGAAAGTCTATCAGCAGTCCAGATAAATTTCTGCATCATGTGTTTTGAAACATTGTGTATAGAGAGGCATTGCGTCATTGCTATTTAATATTTTCGTTTATACAGACATGTGCCAAGGCATACGCAGCAGTTACGATAAGTGGTGAATATAACAAAGGGCTAATTCATGACCATGGGCTTTCATTTTGTTTTAAAGCTGAGTCAGACATTTTATATTATAGTCAATTTTTCCGGCTAAAGCGTCAATTTTTTTGAAAACTATAACAAAGGACCAGTTCATGGGCTTTAAAACTGAGTTGGGAACCCTATATTATAATCGAATATCCCGTGCTTAAATGTCAATTTTTTCAATTTATTAAGTTTAAATGTTACTGAAATAACCACTGGTGTGATCAAAAATAAAAACGCATGTATAAGGTACCTTAAAGAAATAAATCTGTACAGAGTAAAATATTAAGTGTCTGTGCGTGCCGGTAAATAGGAAAATAAATCGCGTTTCTATTTAAATATTGATTTCATCTTTGTCGAACTTTTCTGTTTTTGCATCCACAAACTGATCTTTTGTTATGCTTTTTTCTATTCCTTTTGTAGTTTCAGAGCACTTGAATCTTCTTCATTTTTATTTCTGCCTCCTCCCAGCTTCTACCACGAATGTTCTTCGTTTTCACTTCCGCCTCCTCCCAACTTCTATCATAAGGAACCTAAAATAGAATTATTATTATTATTATTATTATTATTATTATTATTATTATTAGTGTGAGTAATGGAAGTGTTTCCAACAGAACTGTCAAAAATGCAATCGTAGACATTTAATACAATGGTGTTTCAATTTTCACTGGAATAACGAGATGGTTTGAAGAAGAAATGTAGGGGAAATTTATTTTGCCCCCAGATGCTTCATTGCCACTTGGGTGTCAGGTTGAGTAAAATTATTTCTGTGGATTTTTCCCTCATATTTCAAGCATATGTGGATATATGTCTACACCTTAAGAGAAGAGACGGTGTAGAAGGCGTTGTATTTTATTAGTTAAATTTCTGAGATATTTATTGAGGCAAGGTGGATTTTACATGATACCGAAAGTTGCTATTGTCATTCTGTAGTGAAAATAAAAGCATTCAAATAAGGTTCATATTAGGCATGTTCTGGGTTTCAATGCGAACTAAAAACCTGATTGACTGGTAATTCAGCCATTTTTAACCCCTCCCCCCCCCCAAAAAAAAAAAAAAAAAAAAAAAACTCTGAAATTAACATTTCAACAATATTTCGGTTGATTTATTAAAGAGGACGTCTCAAACAGCCAAATAAACATTTCTACAAAGTTATCCCCAATATAAAGGCAACTTACTTGAGTTTTTGTTGTTGTACAACTCTGAGGTATGTTGCACATGCTTGGATCTGTTATTGAGTATTTGAGGTCGTATGCACAATACGTATGGCTGGCTATACTGACTGTGGGTGTGTCGTCTTTCCCGTCGTCTGTCTTGTTGGCTGTCTTGTTGGGCTTCACGACGA